TGTTTTGGTTTTTTTTTTTTTTTTTTTTTTTTTTTTTTTTATTTTTTTTTGAGGAACTCTATTAAGGGAACATCAGACCCCGCCCCGGCGCCATGCTAGTCCTCTTATCTTGACCATCTTAATAGGGGTTCTCACAATGTGTATCTGCATCAAAAGTAAATTGTCACTAATATCGTCAGAAGAGAGTGATCCTACTCAGTTTCGTTTGTCTCCGGGGGACCGGCTCCCCCCCGGGCCGCCGGGCTGCAGCCCCCGAGTGAATGAACTTGATTTTGGGTCTTTTGAGGGTGGAGGTTTGCTTTGCACCCTTTCTACCCGCGGCACACACTCTCTGGCGCGCTCGCAGACTCACGCACGCCGCCCCCAAAATTCCTGTTTTCCGCAGAGGGTGGGTGGGAAGAGGTAGAAGCAAAGGCTGCCCAGACAATGGAGAGAAAAAGTGAGTGCGGAGAACTCCGCGTCTACCTAGCCGGGGGCTGCCGCGGAGGGCTGGGGCCCGGAGTGGGGCTCGACTGCCCCAGCCCCAGGAGGGAGACCCCCACTTCCAACTGTGCTGTTGGGGTGTTCCGAGGCTCTCCCCTGATTCCCCGTTTCTCTTACCCTCTCTCCCTCCCTCTGGATTGTTTTTTCTCAACTTTCTCCTCTCCCGGTCTCACCCGCTTCTGCCCACGGTCCCCCCCTTCTCTCCCCTCCGCGGACCTGAGGGAACCAGTGACTTTTCCTTCCCCAAGTGGGAGTTATCCACATCAAGCATTTCACAACGACACATCAAGAAAAGTAGGCAGGTTCAAGTCAACCATGAAATGGTCACTTTTTAACCCCGTCCTGTCCTCATTAGGGAAATGCTCAAACACAGTCCGTTTTCAAAGAGCGCTCTTAATGAGGCGAGCTTGCCAAGTCTACCAGCTGCAGCCCCCGTAAACCAAGAGCCCGCAGAAGAAAGGCGCTGGGGGTGGGGAGTGGAGGCCGGGGAGAGGGGGCGGTGGATCTGGGAAGGCAGGTAGAGTCGGGGAAATTTCGAGAACTAACCCCGCGTTAACCCTTTAGGGCACAGCCTCCTGCTTCCCCGAGGCAAATCCTCCAGTCGGCGTTCTAACGACGTTAATTTCCTTTGTGTGGGCCTTTTCTTCTTTTTGAAAAGTCAGGATAAAGTTGACAGTCTTTACAGATCAAAGGCACGAGGTGACCGCGGGGGTTAATCCAAATAAATACGCATTTATCTCTCGGAAATTTTTAGGCAATCTCATTTTAAATGTTTAAAAAATCCCCCAGCATCACTTTGTATTGTACATTACACTGCATCCCCTTTCTCACCGACATGGGGAAGAGGGGGGGGGGGGGGAGAGCAGGCAGGGAAGCTCTACTGATAATACCAGCTTTAACTACTAGAGTTTCCCTTTGAACAGATATTCAATTTAACCGGAGTTAATTTACCATAAAAGACATTCCCCATGGCATAAATGCACTCATGTCCTTGAACACACCTCTTTGAATGCCTGGACTCTTACAAAAGCCATTATTTTTCGGGGTCTCTTTAAAAAAAAATCAAGTGCCCGTCTCTCTCTTTCCCTCCCTTCTTCCCTCCCTCCTCACCACACCACCCCCAGTGAAATCCTGGCACCCAGAGAGCACTCCTTTCAGCCAGAGATCCAGCCGCTGTCCCCTGGCAAAAGAGGCCCAGTGCTGAGCCCTGGGCAAGTGTCTGCAGACATCGCTGCCCCTCCTCCCTGATTAGTTTCCCTTACCAACAGAAACCATTTCCTTTTGTCACCAAAACTAGGTTGCATCCAAAAGTTTCTCACAGGCTTAAAAAGGGAAAATGGACAACCGTTACACAGAAGAGCCCACAAAAGCTGCTGCAACACACAGAGGGGTAAAGAAGCAGCCACAGACACAGGTAAGACCCCAGAGAGAAGTGAAGACAGTCTGGGGCCTCCCGGGCCTATCCCTTAGGGGTTCAAATCTCTTCCAGGTGCTCCATGTCTGTAGGGCACTTAAGGTTGGATACAGTTTTGATGGGCACAGCGGATGCTTGGTAGTTGGGTTTTTTGTTTGTTTCCAAGAAAGAGGAAAAGGGGGAAGGAGTAATTTTGATGTGGGGAAAAGCCAGGAGGGAGGAAGAATAGGCCAAAGAGACATCCTGGAAGGGCTCAGGGGGTTGGGTGCTCAATTTCTGTGGCTTTGACTGTCCTCTCCTAGGCAGGATGGCTGAGCCATAGGCAGGAGGGCTGACATCCCCCAAAACACTGCTTCTCGTCCAGCCAAATCCAAGGTCACTGCAGGCCTTCCCAGGATGAACTCTAAGAGAGCCCTTTGTAAAGAGGGGCTGGTGTGTTTGCCTGTGGGGGACATCTGGCTTCTCTCAGCACAACACTTGTCCTCCACTATCTTTGGTTTGAGAAATACCAATCTTTTAAACCCCCAGGAGAACAGTAGAGAAGAGGAAGTGAGAAAGTATTTACATGTTATCTACTTTCCTTTTTTTCCCCTGTATGTCTGTGCCATGGTGTTAGGAGTGGTTTGAAAGTATCTCTGAGAAGCTTCTGATACTATAAAAATGGGTCAGATACTTCTGAGACTTTGGCACTTACCTCTCCTAAATTCTTTCTTCTCTCTCTCCCACACGGAAAGGGTTAGAGACAGGCCAATTTCATTCACCTCCTAAGCTGGCTTGAAGAGCTAGAAAGTGAAAGGTTCCTGCAGCAACAGGAAAATCTTATATTTCAGAATTCCTAAAGATTTCCTCTGTAGATCATCTATTACCTGCAACCTTGTAGGGGGAAAAAAAAGTTTATTTTCTGACAGATAGCTTATTGATTTCAAGAAGGAATGCCTGTTCTTCAGGTGACTGGATTTTTCAAAACTCAGTTGTATAATTGCAAAAAATGAAGCAATGTTTACCCCATTGAAGCCTTTCACTGACCTCCAGAGAGGAGCTTGACATCTCAAGTATCTCCTAATATTGATTTTCTGTTAACCTTCTCCTTGCTAAAGAAACTCCGTGACAGGTTGCAAATCCTAGGCAATTTAGGGAAAAGTTTCTTGGAGCTTAACAAAGCTGTCATTTTCAGCATACCGGATGACTTTTTTTTTTTTTTTTTTAGCTCTTGCCTGTGATTTGAGGGGAGACTCAACAATTCCACACACCCTGGCTTCATTGCCAATATCAATATTTTAAAACTAAATACAAAAGAGACAGATGACCTCCTGACCCCAGGAAATAGGCCTGCAAAACTGCAAGTATCCACTACACCATGCCCAGGGACCTTTCCTTCTTCCAAATGAACCACAAAAAAAAGCATGTGTAGCTTGGAAAACACAGTTTTATATCCACAAGCCGGAACACCAAAAATCCTCTCAAAAAACACATATATAAACAACCAACAAGTACTGACATTGCCTGTACTTGATGGGAATTGCAAAATCGTGCCCAGCGCTTTCAGCCTTTAAACTACTACTGTCAAATTAGGATAGCAGTTTTTTCCTACTAGAAAATTCACAACCAGTTACCTCCCCACCCCAACCCCACCCCACCACCAGGGCTTTGCCTTTCACTGAAATGAATAAATAACCATGGACTTCTTTTCCCTCCTCTGGGGGCTGTTTGGTGTCCCCTGAGGACAAAACTAAATGAGAAAAAATGACGCTGTTAATAATGTCATTGCTGAAATGCCTGTACTCAATTGTTTAAAAAAAAAAAAGTGTCCCACTAAGTGTGCCTACATTCCAGGCACACTTACAAGCTAAGGCTGAATCAGAGCACCGACTGGGCCCTATTCCTCCATTAAGGTTAGACACTTCCCACTCCTCCACAGAGAGGAGGCCAGTTCATCAGCAGAGATTCCCCACTGCTGAAGACATCTGCTTCCAGGATTACAAAGTCAGCAGTTAGTTGCCCTGTAACTTTTGCATGATTTATTTTAAACTTTGAAAACCGTGGCAATAATTGCCTTGTGTCATTCACAATACGTCAGAAGTTACATACACTCTCACACACAACCTCTGCTCTGCTGATACTGAGTCCTAGTTATTGTCCTTGTTCAAAATAGCTGAACGGTAAAGTAAAACTTTCTGCCATTTTATTTCTACGGGTAAATTGACTTTTGCCACCCAGATACATATGCCTTTGTGACATGGAGACAGTTTTAAAGAGATGTTCAGAATGTTTTAACCAAGATGGCCAAGGAGTCATATTCTGTATTAGGTATAGAAATTCCATTGCAAATCAACTCACTTTCTGCATCCCTTTCTCTAATTCTTCCCTTCAAAACTGCCATTCTATTTGAGAATCAAAACAATGAATAACAACGTAATTGTGCATTTTAATTTTCAAATTAAAATTTAGTAAACACTTGCATAAATTACAGAGAAAAGACCAAAAAAAATGAGCCCATACACATTTTTTACAGTGAACTGTATCCCTGAAATGTGTCTGAAATATTTTAACCCAACAAGTTAATAAATATCAAAGCAATAAAATTGTCAAATTGTGTGATGTCACAGGCTCCAAAAGCAAAGTTACAGATGTTTGTGACATCACATTCACTCTTAATTATGCTGCTGCTCAGTCTGACCATATTAAAATGAAATGGATGCCTATGTCTGCTAAAGAATAAAAAAATTTATTTTGGACATCAAACAATGAAACTGTCACCATTTATTGTATGAAACACTCAGCTAATCAATTTCCTATTAAAACAGCTTTCAACAATACTTAGCTTTTTTCAAATTCATCGGAGCCAGTAAAAACCTTTTTCCAGTGCTCAAGAATGCAGTCCCAACCACGAAGGATAATTACCCTTCTAAATACTTTTATTGCCCAAGCACTTTTTCCTGTGCTCCCCATCAGTTAAGCAGGAATCTGCAGTATATTGTATCAGTGAGTTGGAGTGCTTGACCTTTGCCCACATATGATTTAATAGGGACTTTTCAGCGCCTGAGCTTTCTCCATCTCTCATACCATTAAATGAAAACATCAAACCTCAAATGTAAAACTGGAAACCACAACGTTTTGTGTTTCACAACTCTTTGCAGTTTTTCCTTAGGCTGCTTAAAGGTCAGCTTCTGCCTCTCACAGTGCTCTCCCCCATGCAGCAAATGTACTGCAAAGTCACACTTATTCTGATTTTGATTAAATCGCGAACGCTCCAGTCAGATACACACATGCACCCTGCTTATTTACACGTGCATTCTTTTCTAACCACATAAGCATGCATGTATGACTTTCTGGATTTATTCTACTTTAGGGCTGATTTAAATGTCTGTTCAAGGATGGGTTCAAAAGTTAACTTTTTCCTGCCTGTTGGAAAGTTAAAATTACAAAGTAGGGTGCTACAAGATCCGTTCAAAGCAAGTTAGAGTTAATCTTGTGTATTTTGGCGCCCTTTCCCTGCCAGCTACTGTACTTAGTGGGGAGGAGGAGGGAACTTGGAGATCTAGTCTGTCCTGTCTCAAGTTCAATGGCAGTTCTTCTAACCCAGGAGAAGATGGCCATGTTCACAGCCCTCATAATAATTCCAATCACGCCACTTCGGCATCTTGTGTCAAAGTCGAAACTGGCTTCCCCACCCCCTTCAACCTAAAAGCTGCCAAGTCCTCACACACTCTGCATTCAACCACAACTTAATGGATGGGATATTGTGCATTAAAATGTGTCCAGACGTACTGGCGAAGAGAGGACAAGGGACACACACACACACACACACACACACACACACACAGACTTAGCAGGGGGAAAAAACCCTAGAGCAAAAACAGCAGGGCAGGAGGGGAAAAAAGTTTTACTAGGAGCGGGAAGAAATCCATCATAATCTTTTGTTTTTCTAAGGGGTGTGGGGGAGGAGGAAGAGGGCTAACAATTCAATCCTGCTTTGCAATGAATATTGATTTTAAAAAAACTCCACCGCACCAATCAGAGCGAAATAGTACTTCCCTCACTTAAAAATGCACTTTTAAATGAGAATATACAACAAAACTGTGCATATTCACCTTAAAATGAAGAAAAGAAGGCTGCAAAAGGAGAGAATGGACTACAAGGTACAAATGAGGTCTCATCTGTACAGTAACTTTTTCCAAAATTGGGGGAGGGGAAAGTAGGAAGTTGAAGCAGGAAAAATGCTACATTTCAGTCTGGACTCATAACGTTATCCATTGATTCCCTCCATAAAAGTATTATACCTATACTACAATTGCCAAAGCTAAAAAAAAAAAATTTACATATTTGCATGAGGTTTGGAAATCCAGTACTATAGCTCAGCCTGGAAAGCAGAATAACATTTAGGTAAAACAATTTACAGAACATAAGCAGGGAAAAATATCCGTGTCCGAGGTGGAAGAGGAAGCCAGGGACGGACAAGACAAGTAAATAAAACCCATCATTTCAAAGCCACATACCATCGCACTGTACTGCATTAAACAAGAGATCTTGAATCTGTGACAGAGCCCTGGGCCGCTGGCTTCATGTGTCTCAGGTACAGTTTTGTGGATTTTCTCAAGGGTTGTTTTGGTGTCGCTTTTTGTGTTTGGTTAAAAAAAAAAAGAAAAAAGGCAATCCAGGAGTAGTCTTTTATTATTATTATTTTTAAAATGACTGTTTCTGTAATGCCACCATTCTTGACCCCAGAAGAAAAGGCGGTAAAAGTCAACTCTTAAACGCAGGCAGTCCCTCCGTCTGGATATCCAGTTTTCTTTCCTCTCGCTTGCTGCAGACTGTTTCTCCTGGTGGACTTGAAACCCGTCCAGAGTGTGTGTGTATGTGTGTGTGCATGTGTGTGTGCGTGTGTGTGTGTGCATGTGCGTGTGTGTGTATGCATGTGCGTGCGGGGTTTCAATTGTTGTGTTGGGAAGGCCTGGTTCTAAGGGGGTGGGGGCCCGCCGGGCCCTCGGGGCGCCGGCCAGGGGCAACCGGGCGGGCCCGGGGGGTGGCGGCGTTCCACACCTCTATGGGAATGACCAGGTACGCGGGGGCACCTCCGAATCGCCGTCGCTCAATTCAGGATCAAGATCAGACCACGCAGCCCGCCAGTCTATGGTCTGCCGACCCATGCCAACAG